CTCAGACCTCCATTTGTTTAGCCTCCCTCGCTGGCCCCATAAATCTTGCATTCCTTTTCTGCATACTGGTATGGCTTCAGCAGAAACGTGGCTCCATGCCAAGACGCAGACTAACTTGTGGCTCTCACTGCTGAGAAGCCAGAGCAGTGGACTGAAACCTCTTCAGAGCYAGGCGGGTGCAAAATTCTCCCTTCTCCTTTGTGGGTTTAACAATTCCATGGCCACTTGATCACAGCTCCTGTCGCTGAGCAGGTAATTCCCTCAGTGGCAGAAATAATAAAGCCTGCTGTGTGTACCAAAACCTGTAACATCCTCACACTAATCCCAAATTCTCATCTCCTCCAACACCTGTTTGGCTGGCTAAACAGCAGCACATGCTAGCTGGGCGGTGCAGTGCTGCACAGGAGAGGGCTGGCCACTGATTCATTCTCTCTCAGGGCCAGATAAGGGATGGATTATACCAGTCTAGGCTCTTGTCTGCCAAATTCCTGGCCTCATAAAATCTCCAGATCCATTAGCCTTCTGTCCTCTCCAGGAGGTGAGGCAATCACAGCTCAACAGCCAGACACTGCCATTTGCTTAAGAAATGATAATAAAAGGCTACACCTCACAAGGATGAGATCCCAGAGAGACAAGCTTGATTTCAGCAAAGTTAACTCCTCTAACCTCACACTAAGCATGGATTCCTAGTCCATGTAGCATCTCCCCACCAAAGGTGACTGTGGATGAGAAAGAAACTGGTTAAAACTTTCTCTTTTTCTTGTGTCAGAAAGAATCTGGTTAATGATCCAATTATGCTGGGTTTTATTGAATACGTTTTGATGGTGTCTGTTATTTCAAAAATCTGTGGTGTAGCAATTAAATGTCCAAAAAATAAGGAAAAAATCTGTCATGAATAATAAATGCTCATCTTATCCTAAGAAAAGGAAATATTAAAGCTTATACACCTTTTTCCTACATTTTGTAATTCTGTGGCTTGTTCTGTTCTCTGTGTGTTTTAATAAATATACATTTTTACAGACATAAGTGTGTACTGGTGGGAATAATTATTTGCTCGAGGCTGACACTGTAGAACAGTAGGAAATTACGGCTTATAAAAATTCATGAGGGATAATAGAGATCTGAGCTGTGCTACTGAAACTGATGGCTGTTCAGTTTCTAAGGAAGTTATGATTTCTACCAAAGAAATATTTCTGTGCAAATCAAAATGATATTTTACTAAGTTACATTAAGTGGTTAATTAAATCTCATCTATTTCCAGAATCTTTAAGMTCTTAATCTCTGTGTAAACAAGGATTTTGGAAGGGTGGAGCTATACCATTTCTTCTTTGTGAATAAATTGATTTTTTTAAAAATGTGTTTACCGACTTAAATGAAAATGGACTTAGTTTTAATCAACCAAAATAAATTAATATATATGTATTTCAATTTAACATACAGTGACAAAGGCAGAAAATTCTATTTTTTCTTCAGCTGTAAGTTACTCTTCAGAACTAAAAGCCTGAAATATTTCCAGGGAACTGAATACCAAATTGTGTAGCCCTGATTACTCACATAAAAACTCAGACTGCTATGAGAGATTTTCATATGGCTTTTCAAGAAGAAGGTTTTAATGTATAAAAACAGTGCAGCCAAGAGCTGGAATATCTGTGTATATTGTGCTTAAAATTATTGAGAGGTGACTCAACTGATATTTTCCAACACCATTTTTCCTTTAGGTTGGTATTGCATAAATTCCAGTGGAAGCAATTTGTATGTGGCAGTGTGATCATATTGTACAATATGGCTTCGGAAGTACAGGGGCAACACTTAAATTTCTCAGAAATGAGCAGTAAGGACAGCCCACAATATCCCTGTAAACTTCTATCTCCCAGACAGAAAAACATAAAAATCTTTTTGGGATACAATAATTCTATCCCAGGAGCCATTCTAGTGAGGTTACAATTTTCTCCATTTGATGCCATGTCAGCTCAGGATCCCCCATCCATCTGAATTGGCTGCTGTTGACCAGAAAGGTTGGAAGCTTTGCTTTCCAGGCTGGGAGCCTCCAGCACAGGGACTGGTTTGTAGCACACCAGTGCTCCTGCTTCATGTGCCTGTCTGGAGGTACATCAGCTTGTATAGGGACCTGGACAGACCTGCAGGCTGAAGCATGAGCCAATGTAGATGTAGATCTGGTCTATACCACAAATGCAGCTCAATCCTGAATTAGATGCTGATTATGCAAGTCAGTGTCCAGATTTACCCATTTATAAACTCTTCCTCCCCTGGAGAGCTCCAGATGATGGAGTTTTCAGCTGGACATGAAACTTCTTTCGCTGATAATGTAAGATCTCCCAAGCAGCTACAAGCAGCTACACTTTGCTCTTCAAAACCTACAAAAGTCAAGAAAAAATGATCAAATATAATGTATAYAACTGGTTTTGAAAACATTTTTAAAAACAGCTTCAGGAAATGCATAACAGAATATGCATAAGATACGTAATGAATTAAATTCACCACTCTAAGTGATGACAATTATACTCTGCATGCAGAGCTAATTATTGTATTGTACCTCCTTCTAGTTTCTAGTACAAGACAGGAAAATGATGTTATAAATAATTTTCACAAATRAATTTTTTATTAATTAATTTGTCTTTATAATGTGAAGAATTGAAAGTCTAACTTTATTACTCTGAGAAATATTCWGTTGTACCATATTTATGGATAACACTTCAGCTTTTAGAAATTAAAAACTTGGAAAGTACAGCTGGAAATTTAGTTTGAAGTTTAGTCTCTGGCAAATTATCCCTTCAGTGGCAATCCAAGTGTTCTCCAAGTGTTCTTACAAAGTGTGTTCCAAGGACATGACATAAAATACATCTGTATAGMCCTTGCACAATTTTGTCTGCCACAACACTTATGAGAGGTACCAGTCTGCTAATGTAAATGTACTGACAACCAGAACACACTAATGTTACTTTGAATATAAGTAATTAGACCCTTGGGGGTTTTTATTCATATGTGAATAATGCTATGGAAGTTGCTAGACTGTAGGAAGTTATAGCAAAATTCTGGCCTTGAAAAAGTAGTGTTTTTTGGGAAAGAAATTTTAGTTGCTGACATCAGTCCTGTTCACTGGAGACTGAAGAGAAGTCTGAAGAGAAACTGTCCAAAGACAACCAACATACAAATTATACAGTATCACTTACTTATATATTTGGAACTCTGGCACTACACTTCTGAAAGTAATGAGGGTTTTGTACCTGTTGAAGTAAAAACAAAGTACATGCCTAAATGAGGAAAAGTTATTTTAGTAATATGAAGAATGTTAATCTGTACCAAAAATTTGTGCACTGTATATCAGCAATGTAAACAGGATGAGATGTGAGTTTTGGATGTTGTCAGTTTATGAAGCTTTTACTAATTCATTCCAGGCTGCATGATTCTTCTTTTTAAAATTTTGAATTCTGGTGTAATTAAAACYCAGACAGATGAATTTTTATTGCACTCAATTTCAATATAAATCTGATCCAGATATTTTAATTTTTTAAATTTTATAATACTTTTACTTTACAAATATACATGTATATTCTAAGAAAGGATTGAAAGAGTTTTGCTACACATATGGTTTTGACAGAGAAACCTACATTTTGCATGTATCACAGAATTATARAATTGTTGAATTTGGACATCAACACTTGAGATCATCTAGGCCACCCCCCTGTTTTGGGGAGCGGCTTGGGACTGTATCCAGACAACTCTGGAGTATATCCAGGGATGGAGTCTCCACAGCCATTGTGGACAAAGCATATCTTATCTCCAGCAAGAGCATCTCACTGCATTTGCACTGCCATGCTTAGGATTACAATTACAGGTTTCAAAAGATAAAGTACACATCTTTCCTCTGAGAGGAAGATCATGCAGTCCACCTTCATTCTGGGGAGACACTGGAAATATTTGCAGGGAGATCTTTCCCAGAGGAGTTCAAATATAGCTTCAAATAAGGAATGCTAGTTACAGCCTTTACCAGTAAAAAAACAGTTTTACCCAGAGAAGTCCAATTTTGTTACATGCCCATACAGAGACTTTATTAGTGTCTACGATTTTTTCCTTGCCAATTATTCATTTAGCATTTCACATTCTGTTAAATAAAATATTTAAAAAAAAAAAAAAAAAGGTTAGTTAGAAAAGAACATTTTTATTTTGKGGTAAATCAGAATGACTATAAAATATTTGTTTTATTCCAAGTCACAGTATAAAAGGAAAGCTGGGTAAAGCAAGTGTTATTTAACACTAAATAATTTCATTTCCATTGCTTCATCAGACTTACMTATCAGCTATTCAGAAAATAGTCCCAAAGAGAGTCTTTAATTTAAACTGTCTGATGTTCTTTTGGCAATTGTAGTGAAACCAAGAGATTTGTTCTCCAGAAAACTTGGACATAGTTTCAGTTCAAAGAAAAGGGGGGAGGTGGATTGGTGGGTTTTGGTGTTTAGTCGTCTTTTTTTTTTTTTTTTTTTTTGGTGGACTATATTGTATTTTACTCCGTTACTTTCAAACAAGCAATATTTTTTTCTGGAAATTATTGTAATTAACTACTGTGCTTCTTTCAAAAAGCCTAGTACCTTTTATATAGCAGGAAACATGCTCTGTCCATAAAAGCTAACCCAGTGAAAATAATAAATACCATATCTCTTTCCATTCACATGATTCAATGGAATTAAACATGTTAGAAATTATTTTCCCAAACTAAATCCTTTGCTTCAAGCTATAACTCAGATATATTCTCAGAAAAGGCATAATGGCAATGTGAATAAATAAATGTTGGTTCAGCTTAGCAAAATAAAACTCTCTTTGACTGGCTGGGGAGAGAAACACATTCAAATAAGTCTTTGTAAGCTGCTTCAGGAAATTAGTTCTAGAAATGGTGTTTACTGAAAGGAAAATGCTACTAAGAAAGGCACTGTCCCTTATTTAAAGTTTCTGTCAAAGCCAATTATTCTTTTCACTTTCATCAGGTCTGGATAAGGTGCCAAAAGACCTTCCCCCAGACACAACCCTGTTGGACTTACAGAACAACAAAATAACCGAAATTAAAGAAGGAGATTTCAAGAACCTGAAGAATCTTCATGTAAGTGTATAAATGAACTGCTATTTGCCAACAAAAATGAGGAGGAAATGTATTTTTGGCCTGGTACTGCATTTTTTAAGGAAAACTGATTAAATACTTTGTGATTTTCCTTCAGCAGCCCAGCCTGTTTATTTCTATTTCCGCTCCTCTCCTGCAAAGTTTCTTGTCATGCTACAGAAGTTTTCCATCTCTTTTCAGTTCTTCACGCCTGTTTCCTGTCTGTTCAGTCCCCTGATCTCCATCATAWCTTCTCTCAATATTAATTTGTTTTCAGTCTCTTTGGCACAGTGACTTCATTATTTCCATCTCAAACCTGCCACCTGACTCAGTCATTACTGTATTCTTTCCCCTCCCACCTCTGAGCTCACAGAGATTTGTATGTGCCGTACATGCCAGCATATATTCTGTACTAATATTAATTCAAGGATCTTTCCAAATTACTCTTCTGCACCCTGCACTGCAATGAAATTRTGTTTTTGCAATAACCTTCTCCTAGCAAATCTCCATCCTCATCCCTCTTTACCTGCCAGTCTCTTCCAGCGCTGCTGTCTGGTTTCCTCTTTGCTGAAATATTTTCCTTCCTGGTTTCTGTGAGTACTTGGTTCTTTCTGGCTCACCTCTTCTTTTCCAAGTTTCCAACAGACAGTTACCTTCCTCTGTTTCTAAATTTCTTTTTTTTTTTGCTCTGTCTGAGGTCCTCCTCCCTGTCTACAGTTTTTATAAGCATCTCAAAATTCATGCCTCATACATTTACCTCAATTTTGTTGAAATATCTTTCTTTATGGAGTAGAAAAAGGCTATTCTCTGTCTTGGAGAGTAATACCTTAATTTAGCCATATGTCTGAAAATATTTTTCTAGCCTTCCAACAGCGCATTTTATTCCATGTATTCCTCTATTTTTCCTTTATTATTATAAACAATATATTATTTGGCCTTGCTCACATAGGTCTTTACAGACCTATTCTATTCTATTCTATTCTATTCTATTCTATTCTATTCTATTCTATTCTATTCTATTCTATTCTATTCTAATTCTATTCTATTCTATTCTTTCATAAACAAGAAGGCAACTCCCACTTTTTATCCCTTACTGGTGCCGATATCATCCAAAGAAGCACTGTTGTAATCAAGAATCTGCATTCAACCACTCATACTTAGAAAAAAAAACTCCTATGAAATTTTACCTCCATAATTTCTTCCTAAGTCCCTCTAAATATTTGATTCAATGAAAGATCAAGAAGGTATTTTTTTTGAAAAATCTAGTAATAGGTAGAATGCCATTCTGTCCATAGTGAAGGGATCTGCATGAGTGAATCATGAGGTTCATGTCRTCTAATTTTAGCATAGGTGTCTATACATATCTAGTTCCATGGATAACCTCTAAAGTCAACACAACAAGTTCTTCCAGATCACATTCCAGTCAGCTAGGTTTAAGAATGAGATAACTTGTTCCCCAGACTTTTTTTTTCAATTCCTCTCCTTGGCTATGGAACAGATTTCACACTATATTCCTGTCCATTTGTTCTGTTCTTCCACCTTGGAAAGAAGTTTTGTGTTTTCAGTGAAGATTATCTACAAAGTGCTAAAAGAGTCAAAATTCTTATCAGTGAAATCAATCTTTTGGCAATCCTTCTTTGTGATGCTGCATTTAATGAGTCAGAGAATTGCATTGCAGATGAAAATCACTGCTCCCAGTGATTTCTACCCACTTGGCACTTGGCTCAAGTSTCAGTTACACATCCTGCTGTGAGTTGAGCTGTTGTGAACTATTTTATCTCACCAAAGTCAGCTCTAAGGGGTTTTCTTTGGTTCGTGTTGTTGGGTTTTTTTTTCCTTTTTTTTTAGAACAGATACAATTTAATAGTGAATTAAATAAGTAACTCTTCGGGAAAGAAATTATTTCTTTGTCTTAGTCACAAAAGTACCCAGTACATGCTTAGGGACCACTGGAAATCATACATTAGCATAAATTTTAACAAATAACCTTCAAAACTGCAATTTTCCTGCATTTACTCAAGAACAAATTATGATTTTCTCAAGGTCTGCTTCCAATCCAAACCATTCTATTATCTCCTCCCCAAAATAATAATTTAGTCATGCAGTACATTTATGTAACTAAGCACCATCTTTGTTCTCAGCATAAATATTCTTGTGTAATATCTGGGAACGATTCCCATTCCCCATCTTTCAACTAAATATTTTTCAGAAGGAGTATTATTTTTAGAAAGTAAAACTCAGAAGCATTGTTGTTGACAGAGCTCTATTATGACATTTATTTTAAAGATATATGAGTGTGTGAGATATGTATATCTAGAAAAAAATGCATGTGCTTTTAATTCTTATTTCCTGACAAACATGGCCTGGGTTAGTGACACACTTGACAGTATGATGTTCAAAAATCTGTTGGATATTACTAAACTTTCTTGTACTCTACTAAAACAGGAAAAATTACAAAAATTAACAGTATTATTGTAAAAAGATCTAAAATGAGCAACTGGAGTTAACCTTTTGCATGAAGTGATCTCTTAAGGGAACAATTATTTAAACCCCAATTTTCCCRTATCTTTAAAAAAAAGAGCAGTTTATACAGTTCGTTACTTTGGAATGATCCAGTAAAACACTTTCCTTAGAGCTGTCACCAACCACATGAGTAATAGTATGAGAAGGGATTTTCATGAAAAAGTTGGGGTTGAAATTGAGGTTCAACCACTACTAAAGCCCAGAACGAGTAGTGAGAAAAGAAATGATTTACCAATAACTCACCCATGGCTTCTCTTTCAGTTACTTCTTATGCTACACTGCATAATACACAGCACTGAAGTATACAACATTAGAGATGAAAGAGAAATTAGAACCGACCAAAATATTCTTTGTATTGAAAATTCTCCTAAGTACATTTCCCAAGAGCAGCTAAAATTTGCAGCTGTGGAAATATGGCGAGCAATTAGAAGAGGATGCATCTAAAGGAATATTTACCTGCAAATAAGAATTTTCTGCCAGGAAATCAGAGTCAAGAGTTATAGCACACTTGATACTTATATAGCTTTAAATTATCCATGGAAAACTGGCTAAACTATTAATGTTGCACTATAAAAACACAGTGAAATTTTACTCTATTTGAAAAATGAAAGATAAGACTTTTTTTTCTTTTTACTTTTTTTTTTTTTTTTTTTTTTTTTTTTTTTTTTTTTTTTTTTTTTTTTTTTTTTTTACCAGGGGACTTGAGAGAATAGGGGAAAAATTGAAGACAGACTATTTTAAGGGCTGAGGACTGAGTTTTACAGTTTCAGAAAAGTGTCTGATATTATGTAAAAACCTTGCTTATGACTTACTTAGACTTGTGGCAAGAAAGCCAGACAGGAAAGCTCTTAGAAAAGCCAGGAAAAAAGTCCTCTATTTCTATGAAACTCTCAGAATTTTCCAGGCAGACTGACTTTTCTGGATGAAGTTCAGTACTTTGACCCTGTGGACACAATAAAGATTCCGAAATACTCCATGAGTAAGCCCTCATGCAGAGTAGAGGAGGAGTCTGCACAAACAGTGCATGGAGTTGCAGACGTGTGGCAAAGCCAAAGCAAACCTGCACCATGCCTGGCACCTGCAAAAAGGGGTGAAAGAAACTGCCCTGTTTTAGATCACTGTAAGAACCGAACAGAATAGTGACTGTATGATTGCCCAAAAAGAACTTTCCAATTGGMACTGTGCTAGGATAGTGAAAGAAAATGAATGCACTATTGGCCTGAAATCAAATGGAACTTTGCTTAGCTGAAGCCAGAAGAACTGTGCAAAGCCACGGCTGTACACACAACAGTGCTAAAACCGGGTTTGTTTAAACTGAAGGGAAAGACCAAAGAGATAAAAGATTTAAACTTGGAACTGAAAGTTATGACCATATCCACACTAAAGGATTATCAAAACTAAACGTGCAGGCAGAGAAACTTAAACATTCTTTGTAGTCACAGCAAGCGGAAAAATAATGTATTGCATTAGAAAATGTCATGCTATCTTTTCTTTTTAAAACAAAACAAAACTCAAAAAAACCTAGACCAAACAAAACAGTCCTGAAGAAAAGTCTAAGAAAATATTTCAGGGATGCAGAAAAGCTCCATATATATATATATATATATATATATAAAAATTAATGAAATAATCCAGTCTTCTGATGACTTATTAAAACTTCAGATTCAATTTCCCAAGCATAAAAAGAAGTTAAACAAACACTTATTGTCTGTAAATCACAGAATGAAGACTAAGAATGTCAGGTTCTGATTTTTTGGGTTTTTTTTTGGTTTGTTTTGCTTGTTTATTTTGTTTTGTTCTTGCATTGTTTGGTAGGGTTGTTTTTTTTCCCCATAAGTGTACAAACAGCTCCTAATAATCTGGAAGAAACCCTTAACTAAATGTCCRGGTTATAAGTATGACCTAACAACTGAAAGCATAAGGTAAACAAAAGGGATGAATTTTATTATTATTTTTATTGGGATTCCTCACTCCTGAATTAAAGTCTTAAGATACAATTCTTCCTAGCAGAACTGTAATAAACACCAGGTAATAATTTAATACATAACCCAGGAAATTAAATAAATTCCATTGGGTCAGCAGATTGACTTTTCATTTTAAACCCTGAAGGATGCATGCATCAGGAGAGCATTGTTAGATAAGAGTTCCATCCCCAGCTGGCAAAACAGGTGTATCATTATGTAATATGGATAATAACAGTTTGCTGGTAATTTTCCAGTTTAATTCTGGTTTTGGCAAGGCTCTTGCTGCAAACTATACCTAATTAAGATGAATGGGGATTGAAACCCCYCAGAACAGTCTCCTGAGATTCTCATATTATGAAATTACACCAGAAAATTAAGTCCCCTGCTCTCTACCCCTAGACAGGGCAAAAATTTTAAATTTTAGTAATCGCAAGAAGAACAAACTTATCCTAATTCCAGCCTGACTGCCACACACTGCCTCTGCAGTTTGTCAGGATGTATTTTGAAAAAAGACTGCCAACAAGGGTTCGAAAATTGTCCTGAACTGTTAATCCTTCTTTTTTGTGTTGGGAATAAACACTTGAGGTAGAAACCAGGTCAGAGGGAACTATATGGCCAGATTACCACTGACTTTGATGTAGTCAGCATCTATTCCTGTCATACAGTGATTCTTCTTTTTTTTTTTTTTTTTTTCTTGACTACTGAAATACCAGAGGTGTTTCACTAAAAAACAAAGTCATCTTTGGAGCAAAGCTTGATTTTTCTTTTCCTCCCTGAACTGCACTTAAACTGTTGGTCAAGACAGAGTAGTRCAATATAAGAGAGACAATGTTTACTGTGCAGTTTATGTGCTATATTATGAGAAAGGAAAAAAAAAAACCAACAAACTTTATCTCAGGAGAATTATTATAGAAGTTAAGTTTTCTCTTATTCATGGGAAATTGCCATGAGCCTCCTAACCCTGACTAAATGACAAATTAATACTTGATATATTTATGCCTCTATTTTTTCTTTCTTTCTTGCATTTTTTTTTTTTTTTAGCTAAGGCCATACATCTTTGCACCCATGCAAAGTCTTGTTGAAAGCTGTACATTTGTATGCTCTACTTTTTGTATTATGAATTGGTGATGTGCTTCAATTTTTTTGGGGGGGAGCAGGTAGGGGTTAGGGAGTATATTAATTCTAAATGAAATATCTTTTTTTTCTCCACTGAAAACAGAAGTGTTGAAGAAGGTAGATTTTCAAATAAAAACATCAATTCCCATGACTTCTGTTCTAGGCTGTCAGGTTTCTGCCAAATCATGTCATACCAGTGACACAAGGGCTCYGGCATTCTGAGAAGTTGACCCTGATTTTTCTCTCCAAGTGCTTCTTGCCCTGTACAAATATTTTATGTATTCTTTAACATGCTGAATATAATGTCCCATCATGCCATCTGGGCTTTATTCAGGATAGCAGGTCTCTGTGACTGTTTTTGCCTCAGACCCATTCCTCAGTAACACTGCCTGCAGATGTTTTCCCTAGGTTTTTGTCCCCTAGTTCCTGTTTTCATTGACCTCTAAATCCCCTGAGTTTTTAGTTTTATTTTGTTTTGGTTTGGTTTAGCTTTTGTTACATGCAAACCATAAGGGACACATTCTGAGGAAAGTAAACAGCATTGCTGCAAGGCTAATAACTTAGTTCTTTAAGCATCGGATATAATAGAGTTATTGTGAAGTGGGAAAGGAATCCAGGGCTGTGGCCTGCCAGGTGCTATACTKGTATGCTATCCTCATCATTTGTTGTTGCTCTGGGAGACAGTAAAACTTCTCTCACAAACTCTAGTGTATGGGTTTATTTTTCCTTCTTTACAGCTGCACAACAATGTGGAAAAATAATGCAGGTTTAAAACACTGGGGGCAGGGACTTGCAGAGAGGGATCTAAGTGGGAAACTATTCTGGCACAATAAAAACGTTGTGAACTCTGACTTGTGGTACCTTCCCACCTTATACCACCAAACACATGTTCCCACTGTGAAATCAGTATTTTTATATATACCTTTGGTAGACACTATCATTTCTAAGTGAGAGACTCCTTGAGTGTTTGAATAAAACAACAATTCTGTGTGTTTCCCCAAGATAACATTCACGTATTCAGGAGAAAGCATTGGCAAAGCAAAACAGAATAATCCTAGATATCTAGATAAGTTCTGGGTTTGGTCAGGAGTATCAGTTCTGCTCTGAAGAGATATAACAATCAACTATTTTTCAGAYAATATTCACACTGTCTAGCTGAATTTATGCCTGCCTATTTCCATCAAAAAATATTTTATACCAAATCATCAGTGGTGATAAAAGTTGCCCAAAGATTTTTGTCTAAAAGGTAGCAAAATTAAATGAAATCAAAGAAAAAGAAGAAAAAGATAAAATAAGCAACATTTTAGCTGAAACGAGKGGCTAAGCAGTACAAAGCAAGATGCAGGATAAAAATTTCAAGTGCTCATAACATGAGTCCAAGCTTGTTGAGTGTTCACTTGGAGATCTATGGAAAAGAAATCCAAGGTGCAATTAATAAAAGTAAAGAACAATGTAATTAGCAGTAGCACATTCAATTATTGAAATAAAAATAATGCGAGGGACTAATCTGCATTATTGGAACTGTACCACTTTTGAATATGTGGCTTGTTTGCCATGTCCTAGTACTGTACAGGTGGCTGTATTTCACTACAGGCAGAGTCTACATGTGTTTCACAATTCTGGCAATCATGAATCAGGATACCACTCCTAATGAGTATCCATGTATTCTCATGTCAGATRTTTTAGTACAGGCCCAAATTAAAGAGAGTTGGGGCCATGGCTTCCACAGACCATTTTATTTATTTTGGGACAAGCTTATTGTTAGGGACTCTGCTGAACTGTGAGTGACCTCTTCTACCTCCTCTTGCATATGAGTTATTTCTAGCTAACATACAAAATTAAAATCAGATATGTTCAGTTTTACGTGCACTCAATGAAACCACATGCAGTACACACCACTGGCTTTACTCAGGATGATGTGCAAGAAGAGTCAATTGAAGGAAAAACACACATCAATCACCATTTTAAACTATCTTCCCATTTCTCTTTCAGTTTCCATGATGTAGATGCCCTGTCATGAAGGCGGATAGTCTTGTCATTGTTTTAATACTTAACTGATYGTGGAATAAGTCAAAACTCTACTTTCCTCCAAGAAACAGACTAAACTGTCTTACTGAAAACACTGAAAGTGTATGAAAATGCTCTGAGTGTTCACTGTAGTATGTACAACAACTTTTATCTTCTGTTTCTTAAACTAACATGATGGAGGTAGAGAAAAAAGATGTTCGATAGCTTTTCCCTAATCATAAATATAAGTAGATATTTTGTATATGTTTATATGGCCCATTGTAACCTAATCCACTGCACGAACATGCAGCACTGTAAGCCTGAGAAGTAGGTAGCCAGCAGATTGAATGATAAGAGTCAATCAAGTATCTATTCTGTCTGAAATATGGTCCAATGCTGTGTTATATTCTGACAGTAATGGGTCTTTCTTCTCCCTTTTTGTGTCGTGGTTATTAATGAGGTTTAGAAGTACTGTAAAATTTTAGAGACATGCAGAGAACACCTGTAACAGGCAGCTTTCATAGGGCCTTTCTCCCCTGGCTGCATAGAGAGCTAATTTGCCTAGAGTTACCTGGATCCTGGATATCACAGCTGTGAGAACATTAGGCACTGACAGGGAAGGCAACATGAGGATGGTCTGTGATTCCTAACAGCAGGACTTAGAGCATGATGCTTCAGCTTGCTCCCCTTCCATACTGAGTTTCACTTAAAATGATAGCTTATGCCTCTGCAAAAAGAAAGAGTCTGCTATCAGTCAGAAATTTAGTAAGTGCAGTCTTACTGGACTAATAGGAACGATGTGATGCTATTCAAGTTTTTTTTTAAGCTGGGCTGAGCCTTTGCTCTGCCARGTAATAGAACTTCCTGTTCAGGATAAACTGGTTAACATGGTTGTGCAATGATGGGCAAGGTACAACAGTATCTTTAGAATAAAAAATATGAGGGGAAAAAACCCAGAATAAATAAAATTGTTCTTTTGTGGCTGTCTTGTTCTTCACAGCTTTCAAATAGAATGATTGTACTTATTCTTGAACACAAATTATGGATACTAACAGCTGCTGCATTGTAATCTCAACAATGAAATAACACTTATATTTGTCCTATAAATCATATCTTTCACTGTTTCAGAAGTTTGTAATCTATTCTTTTTAGTGCTGCATTGCCTTTCATTCAGCTCACCAAATTTACCATCAAAGACATCAAAAGGCAGTAGAAAATAGCAATAATAATAATAATAATAATAATAATAATAATAATAATAATTTTAAAATGTTTCATTACTAAAGTAATTTCCCTTGTGATTGAGACCGCCTTCATTTCTCCTCCACAGGCATTGATCCTTGTCAACAACAAAATCAGCAAAATAAGCCCACAAGCTTTTGCTCCTCTGAAGAAACTGGAAAGACTTTACCTGTCCAAGAACAACCTGAAGGAACTCCCAGAAAACATGCCAAAGTCACTCCAGGAGATACGGGCTCATGAGAATGAAATCTCCAAGTTGAGGAAAGCTGTCTTTAATGGGCTGAATCAAGTGATTGTCTTAGGTATGAACATAAGAAATTATAACAAAAACAACCCAATGTTTTTTCAAGATGTTGTTTTTAGTTTGATCAGTGATTTCATGTAGAAAGGCAAAAAGTGCCCCAATAAATTGTACCTCCACATTAGCTATGACCTGAAGGATATTGGTACCTACATTGCAGCACAGCTCACAACTGTGTTTTGTTGGCAGAACTAGGCACCAATCCAATCAAGAGTTCAGGCATTGAAAATGGAGCATTCCAGGGGATGAAGAGGCTCTCCTACATCCGCATTGCAGACACCAACATTACAAGCATCCCAAAAGGTAAGAAATTAAATTATTTTTTCAGAGATTTACACAGGTGTAATGCGTGTCTAAACCGTAATCCGTAACTAGTAGTCAATTGGGGGGAAAAGAATTATGGAAGCTTTTAGAGTCAGTTCTTGGAGTATCTTATTTTTTGATCAGATGACTTTCATCAGTTTGGAAAATTTTGGCTTTATGTTATGAGAAAATCCATGAGAGGTGCACTGTATAAAATAATTTTATATTATTTTGCTTTTCTTGTCTCATTGCTGAAATATAAAGTGGAAGAATGTTTTCAGCCTCCAAGCCTGTACATGGACCCTGATCAACACGACAGAATTTTAAACTCATGTAGAATTAACCGAAGTTCTACAAGCATAAAATCAGCCCTCCACAAGTCTGTGGGTTTGAAGCCAAAAATACTATACAAAACAGAAACTCTTGCTATTTTTCAAAGTACTTAATTGCAAATTCCTACAAAATAAGAACAATTTCATTGTAATTTATTAAAAACCAAACCAGAATGATTCCCATACAATGGAAATTATATTCAATTTATTCATACTTCAGCCAACAGATTGTTTTGAAATGGGTAAAAATTTTTAGAAAGAAAATACTGGTTGTTATTTTTTTTTTTTT